GGGACTGTCGTAGCGACGATGCTTGGAATTCATTCATCAATAGTTTGATTGAGTGTGTTAAGAACGAGCTGCGCCGCCCAGGATCGGGCCATCCTATACAACCGCTCGCACGTACAGTCACCTGGGCAGAGAAGACTACCCGAGAAAATCCTCCCCCGAATCGGCACGAACGAGGGCAATGAAGGCGAAGGAGCAGAGTATGAAGATCAAGAGGAGGAAGAATCTGTCAAAACTAAGCTGCACGTGCCAATGGTTCCAGCAGATGCGCACACGCATCTCCTCTCTCCAAACATTGATTCATTCAGCATATGGACCAAAGATGCGAAAAGAGACGGTGTTTACCGATATTGAAGTAGTGTTGGTCGACAATCCTTGGATTTAACTGTAAGACCAGACGGCACGGCAGCGAGAAGCAAAGGCCCCGACCGTGTCTGAGTTTGTATCTCTAGTACATCAGACTCTGAAGATTTCTTTGGAAAAGTAGAGTGCGCCTTTGACTCAGACTGCGGTCTGGTCCTGGCTCGGGCTGGTTGTTGAGATCGTACTCTGTTGAAGATCTCTTCAAGGTACAGTGAACTCAATATGGCTGATAGTAAAAACATCTGCAGTTTGAATGAAACTTTCTTGGAGTTTCTTCAGGCCGTCGCGCAGAAAACACGGCTAAGACCTGATTAGAATGGACCTGGGTTGCGGTTCGTACATAGGAGGGAGGCCTGCTAGCGCCGCCAGTGCCAACGCTGCCAAGCCGCTGAACAAGATCTCGACCAGCTGAGGCTTGAATTCTAGGCGAATTACAGTTTATCTTAGCCGGCGATCCAATCTACGCGCTCATTACCTGGTGAATAACACCGAACTTCAAGACCAGAAACCACCAGACGGCGCATGCAAAGCTAGAGGATTGTGATAGCTTTGACGTACAGTAGCCTCGCATTGGACGCGATGTTGGACATATTGTAACTCAGAGTCGCACCATAAGAGAACAACCTACAGCGACAACCCATCAACGCTTCTCATTCCGTATTACATATTTAGTAAGCCCGGAAAGGGACCCTGCCAAGCTGAGCGGTATGTGAGTCGGAGGCTACGCTCTACCAAGGTACCACTCCCGCCACGGGTATGCATTCGATTGGAGTCGCCTATCGCAGCCTTGCCCTTTACAGCATCGCCATCACTGTTTCATTAGACACGCAGCGCCTTCCAAGGGTTTCTCAAACGCTAGGTCTGGGCTACAGACTTCTATTGGCCGATATGATGCAGAAGAGAGAGTTGAGAATAGGGGCACGCGACACGGTATAAGGTGCTCGCGTGCCTAAAACTTGACATCAAAGAGTGACGAAGCTCAATCTCCAGACCTTTCTTTTTTGCAGTTGACGATCCGTTTTGATGGCGGAGAAGATGCAAAGCACGGCAAATGTGTCGAATGACACCAATGGCGCGTCGACACGGCCGCCACTGAAGAAGCAAGAAAGCGATAAAGACTTCGACGACTACTTCGCAAGTTTTTCTCTATAACGATTCGTACAGTCACTAATGCTGACTAGATTGGACCGCGCGATCTTGATCATCACTCGAAGGTAAGTTCTGACTGTACGAATTGCATTTGAGACACATATTGACTTCGTACCTCTACCTCTGCAGTGGCCTGTATTTCTCCGCGTTCATGGCAGTGTAACACCTGAAATGGTGCTGCCCTTACTCTTTGTAGCCGGCTGGTCGAGCATGATAACTTTGATCTCGAAGTTCGTGCATGATCGTATGTCACATCCTTGCTCTGTTAGCATCCAACGTGTACTGACCACCTCCAGTCAGTGTCAACCAGCTTTTGCTTACCGTCCTCGGATTCGTCGTCGGTCTCGCATTGAGTTTCAGAAGTTCCACCGCCTACGAGCGCTACAATGATGGCCGCAAATACTGGGCACAACTCACTTTCGCGTCCCAAAATCTTGCTCGCCTTATCTGGATACACGTAGATGAACGTCACGAGAAGGACGCCGCGCTCGGCAAACAAGACCTTCTTGCCAAGATCAACTGCCTGAACTTGATCACTGCGTACGCAGTCGCACTCAAGCACAAGCTGCGATTTGAGCCTCACATGCATTACGACGACTTGCAGCACCTGGTCGGTCACCTAGACACCTTTGCGCGCGACGCCGACCAGCCAGACGCGCACAAGAAGCCAAGCATCTTCAAGACGGCAGGACAATTCCTTGGGCTGCCAATGGCTGAGTCGAACCCACGAAAACTGCTCAAACGCTCTCGTGCCCCTCTCGGCAACCTTCCACTGGAGATTCTCAACCATTTGAGCGTCTACATGAAGTCAATCTATGATAACGGGACCTTCAAAGTTTCAATCTACCAGACGCAGTCCCTCAATGCACTCACCACCTTCAACGATGTGCTCGCGGGCACTGAGCGCATTCTGTCGACGCCGCTACCTCTCGCATACAGCATCGCCATCAGTCAAATCACTTGGGTTTATATCCTCCTCCTGCCATTCCAGCTATACAAGCTCTTGGGGTACATCACAATCCCAGCGAGCGTCTTTGCGGCCTATATCATCCTAGGCATTGCGCTTATCGGCCGCGAAATCGAGAATCCGTTCGGTAATGATGTGAACGACTTGCCCCTGGACGCTTTCTGCCTACAAATCAGGAAGGACATCGATATCATCATGAGCAAATCGGCTCCGAGCGTTGAGGAAATGGTAATGCACCCGGACAATCAGCTTCTCTACCCGTTGAGTACTCTCGGAAGTGCCGGATGGGCGGCGAAAAGTGTAGACGAGATTAGGGATGCGTTGGCGAGCAAGCCTGGTCTGCACTTCCCTTTGGTTGACCACCACGAACATCCAAAGCCGGGTCACTCAGTCAGTACTGGTGCTCGCCGTCGGACGACAAGTGAGGATCGCGCTGAGATGGGCGAGGCCGGACATGGTAGATATAATAGTAGTGCGGGCGATGGTGGAGACTAAACGCATTTTGAATGTAGGTTACGTTGGGAGGACAAATCTATGCAAACTGAATGAATGCATGGCATGCCTGCTCGAAAAGCCACCTAGGTATGATAAATTATCTCTTGTGAGTCTGATCAGAGCATACAAGCTTTTTTCTAGTGAAAGTCCTCCATGTACAACGGTGCCTAACATGCCTTTACCGACCAAAGGTCTCGTGTTTGAGCCGAGTGTGGTAATCTATATCAAGGACAACATGAGCGAGAATGACACGACAAGAGTATTTTGACGCTCCGTGCCGTGGTGATGGATAGACTGTGAAGTGAAGTGGCCTATACTGGTATCGCAAATTGGTAAAGATGAATGTAGTGTCCTTGTGAAGGGAGAGCCAGTATATATGCGTGGACGACACTGTATCGGCTTACATGGGCGATCATGGCCGTGCCGAGATCATATCTCATTTTTGTGGCCAGTTCCTCCACATACGACCATAGGATCTTGAGAATTAGGCTTCCCGTCCGCTCAGCCATATACAAGCAAGATACCGGCAGGCTAGTAGCTTCGTGGGTGACCAGAAGCGAATCCCCGCTGTTGTATGTTTTTGACCTTCTTTTTGCCAACTTGTCCGGATCGGGTCGTGTGTATCGCTCCTTCCTCGGTATCTCGTCAGCCAAGTATTTTTACAGGATGGACACAGATTTGCGATAGTAGCAGTTGTCCAGTCTCCTATGGCCGTCATATTGTGTGTCACATACCCAAACGCCTCGCTATGCAAATGATATACATCCCAGCTTCTTATGAGAGTGGGTTGACAACCCCAGAACTCTACTCGTCCATCTGCCACTGATATTCCAGCTTCTCAATGTTGGCTTTCCTATTCCTCGAATCGAACCACTGTTTCTCGAACCCGTTTCCTCGATCGATACCGTCCCATCGATGTCCTGGGCGGATGTTGTACCGGTTGGGTTGAAACGGTCCTTGGTATAGAGGCTTGCCTGTAATGCTGCGTCCAGCCTTCTTCTTGCGCAAGAAGCCTGACGCAGGGTCGTTCCAATGCCCTCGCTCCTTCAGCTCGTCGTTGAGCTCCGCATCGTCTGCGTATCGGGCGATCGTCATCGTCTTCGCGTCCTGTAGCTGTTGTTTCCTGCGCTCTGCATCTGCGTTTTGTACGTCTCCGCGCGCTGCCTTCTCCTTCTCGCGCTTCTTGCGTTCCTCTTCTTCGACTTTCTTCCGTGCTTCTGCGCGCTTCATTGCGACGTTGATTATGCGACCGCTGGCGTCTCGGTAGATGGTCTCCTGCGCAGCGCTCCCCATTTCCTTTGCGGCCTCTTCAGCTTTGCGCTTCTCCTCGTCTTGTTTCTTCTTCATGGCTGCTGCGACCTCGGCAGCGCTTTGTAGACCTGCTTTGGCGCCCGACTCCATCCTCATGACTCCGTCTGTGTCTACCATCTCCGGCGCTTCATCCTCCGCTTCAGCGGCCTTCTCGCGATCGGCGGCGGTCCCTGCTATGATTGCATCTGCGGCGGCAGCGTCGGCAGCAAGTTGTTCGGCGTGTGAGGGCGCGGCGACGCCTACGGCTGTCCATGTTGCGGCACTGGTGCCTTTGGATTTCTTCTTGGATTTCTTGAGAGTGCCTCCGCCGACTGAAGCGTCATTTGTTAGCCTCGAGCTTGCACAAATTGTGGAAATAGCAGTTCGCATACCTATCATGGGCGCATCCTCGTCGTCCTCGTCGGCCTTATCCTTCCAGCCCAGATTGTCATCGTCGTCGATGATAAGTCCGGCGTCCTTGTTCTTCCTCTTGCGCTTCTTCGATTTCTTTTCTGAATCTGCCGTGAGGTAATTCTTAGCCAGATAGTCGGCGAGACCAGACATGTTGAGGTGAGGCGTTGGTTGCGGGTGATGCTGCAAAGTCCAGTCGCGAAGCTCGATACGGAAAGTTGAAGGCTTGGCGCGCGCATGCGTTCCGCATCACGTGCTCTCGTGTTGTCGCGTTCACTGTCGCTCGGCTTAAGCAGCCGCACTCAATCACCCTCCACCTCGGATCATCATGGCACCAGGAGAGCGCTCAGAAGAAGTCTGGCTATGGTACACAGCAGTATACGAAGCGATTCAAGAGGTGCCTTCTGGCAAGGTCACTAGCTATGGTCATATTGCCAGGCTGGTAGGGAAGCGTGCGTTGTGTTCCCTGATGACGAGGTCGACTTGCTGACGTGTTTGTCTGATTATAGCCGAATGTCCAAGGTATTACAGCGGAGCACCATGACCATCGTGTCGCAGCATCACTAACGCATGACGTCAAAGACAAGTCGGAGTCTGTCTCAAGAACTTGCCTTCGCCATCGGCCGATAGCAGCAATAGTCCTACGTTCCATAGCCGCAACGTGCCTTGGCAGCGCGTGATCAACGCCAAAGGCGGTATCAGCCCGAGGTCAGCGCTCCTTGTCACCATAACAAGGCTTTGTTGGTTGTTGTTCGATTGCTGACTGGAACAAAGAGGCCCGAGCGCTGCTGCTCAGCAGGCGGATGCCCTGCGGAGAGAGGGAGTGGAGGTCAGACAGGATGCCATGGGCCAGTACACGGTAGATCTCGGTACATATGGCTGGTTCCCTGATGTCCTCCCAAGCGAGGCTGGCTTAGTTGAAAGTAGCGACGAGGAGGATGAAGAGGCGGCCGCGTACCACACTTGAAGCGAGTGCCTGAGGATGCACCTGGAACGGCTGCCTTAGTCAACCATGCCACTCTAGACACGTTAATGTTCCAAGATAGCTGATTGACGGAAGGGCGTTGCAATGCCATGGTATGGGGTACATGTCTTGGCTGGTTCGTAGCAAGCCGCGCACCCGCGTTAGATGATGGGCTAGACTAGCAGCCGGGCACAGACGCGGCGGCCGAATCCGGGCTCTTATCAGGGAGCGTGGTAAAGGGCGTCATCTAATAAGGTGCGATTGTTGGGATGCATGCCGTGACTGTTGCTGTCTGAGGTGTGGAGGCTCGATGTGGGGTCGGCGATCGGAAGATGGAGCACCAGCTTGGGGCGCTTGCGAGCTTGAGAGCTCCAGGGCTGGGAGCTTCACGCATATCCATGCACACCAACCAGGACACAGCAGCCTCCAACTCGCCCACGTTGGCCGCCAAAGGCGTCTGAAACCGCCATGATGGCATCATGGGCAACAGCGTCAAACCGGCTGCGCATCGGGCTAAAGCGGGCAACAGGCCTCGGCGAGTCGGAAGCTGGAACCTAGGTCATGAGCTCCCACCCGTCGACAGTCCCCTTATCAGGAACCAGACAAGGCGGGGATGGTGCCTACGCCTTTGACGACATAAGGGCGGCGCGAGTAAACAACTGCCTGGCCTGAACACGAGCCGTAATCTTCCATAAGTACCTGCATAGCCACTCTCGTCGCCCCAGCACCTCGTCATCCTGAGTCACTTCTTAGAGTCATTCACAAGACAGCTGCTAGTCATCCGCCGCGCCTCCCTCTCACCCGTGCTTATTACCTCGACACAGCTATCGTACCTGTCACATCCCATTGTTTACCTTCTCCGTCACACCTAATCTACCTACTAGCCATCTGCCGCAGCACCTCCCAACAACACTCTACATACTCCGTTTATACTCTTGCCAAACCATACCAACCAGTCACAATACATACTATAACTACACCCGTCGATCCAAGTCGCAACACAGACATGTCGACTTCGCAGACCTTCACCAGCGACCTCCGCAGCGACGCCAAGGAGTTCAACCGCGACAAGAACAGCAGGGCGAAGTGGGCGAACGGACAGTCGTTTGGCCCTGGCCGGCGACAGGAAGACGGCAAGCCCCGCCCTGCTAAGCTGTACCCGCATATCAAGTGAGTGGCTCCCACACGGGTCCCGGGTTGCTTATCGGAGTACTAACATATGCAGGGCATCGTATCCCGGCCCCATGAAGGCTCGCACCGCTTTCAACAAGGACATGGCTTCTGCTAGTGACGAGTCGTCCGCCGATGAGGACGTTGACCATCCTTCCGCTGCTCCTGCCCCAGATGCCGAGGTCGCCTACTCATTCGATGCCCATCGCGGTCCCAGCCATGGCAGCCAGATCCTAAACCATGCACTCGACAAGGCTGTGGAGAGGTTTGAAACCAAGGAGACAGAGAAGCTGGTGAAGAACGAGTATGAGGTGCTCGACTTGTACGACGAGGCCCCGCGCCCAAAGCGCCATGTCGCCCCCGAGGATGACGAGTACGAGTTTGTCGACGCGTGAAGGTTTCCATGGACCTCTTGATCTGCCCTCATTCCTTATCGATTCTTGTGCACTTGACTTGCATGCACAACTTCCCCGGCGTTCTTTGACATCTGATATCGACTTCGCTGTCGGCTTTCCATCGATGTTTACACTTGCATTTTGTCCATGGCAGCATCAATAGGTGAGCGTTCGGCGCTTTTCTGAGGACTTGAGCAGCCACTATACCCGTTCCGGTTTGCTCTCTTTTCGTTTGGGTACTGGGTGGGACGGTTGTCTACCCATTGGATATGTGATGCCCTGGAGTATGGTCTTTACGTCTATAATCTATCACTAGGAGCGGTGTGAATTCACGCCGTTCAAACTGACCAGTTGGTACTTGATTTTGATTGTGATTGTGAGTTCTGAGTGATGATATGCCCGACTCTATGCAGGACTAGAGGTCTGCCGTCGTCGTGTAACAGCCTTGTGGTGCAACACGGAACACCCAGCCACCCGCGACTGGCCACATCGGCGCATCGACAACGTCAAATGTCTGTTGAAATCGGCGCCGAGGCATCGCCATGCACGCTCTGCTCCGCGGCCATTTCTCAACTGGGGTGAAAGCGCGACAGCACATGGATTGGGCGGCATAGATGGGGTGCGGCTGATTAGCCTACGTCATCGCCTATCGGGGACCCTTGCGCGTCCCTGGGCCTCACATTTCTAGACTCCCAACGCTTGCGACTAAACGCACAACCAAGGACTCGACGTCCCAACTAACACCGTCGCGACAATTCTAGTCCCACACTATCGCGACACTACCACCACGCATCACCCCTAAGCACTCGGCTTGCCACAGGCACAGCCCCCTTTCATCTCTTTCACCACCCGCGGCCTCGTTAATGGCGCGCGCCGTATAGGGTGATTCAATCCTCTCCACCAACCGTCAACCGTCAACCGTCAACCGTCAACATGACCGTATCCGTCGACAACCCACCACAACCCAAGAGCAGCCGGCCGCGATGGATGCTCCACGTCCAGGCGCAGTTTTGGCGCGTCCTCATGGGCATCGGCATGATGCTCCACCGCCTGGCCCGCCCACGACCCCCGAAGCCTGCCTTCCATAGGGACATCGATGCCACCGTCTCGCCATTGAAAGGCAAATTCCGCCTCAACTTCTACGTGCCCAAGGAATACAAGAAGCATAAGAAGCTGAAGGGTACTAGGAAATACCCTGTTGTCATCAACTTCCACGGAGGCGGTTTCGTACTGGGCACTGCACACGACGATGCGCGCTGGTGCGGTGTCGTCGTCGACGAGGTCGGAGCCGTTGTCGTCAGCGTCGATTATCGCCTCGCGCCTGAGAACCCGTTTCCCACGGCTGTCGAAGACGGTGCCGATGCGGTACTCTGGCTGGCGCAACACGCCGAGGAGTTGATGCTAGATGCAGATCGCTTCGCCATATCGGGCTTCTCGTCAGGAGGCAACATGAGCTTTACGGTCCCGCTGTGTCTGCAGGGCGAGCTCTTCGATCGAACAACATCTGGCGCCAAGATCATCGATGACCGCGCGGGCAGCGTTCCCAATGCTGTCCTTCAGCCTCCTCCTGCATTTGGCCAAAACCTCACCCCGAACGGCTCCCGCGTCCCACTCGTGCGCCAAAAGTCACGCCTCGATCGCATTGCTATGCTCCGCCAGACAGGCGCCTCCTCGCTATCGCTCATATCCTCATACAAAGACAACTCGGGAGTGTCAGTCATGACGGAGGCGTCCAACACTGTCCTCAAAATTAGGGGCATAGTATCCTTCTATCCACCGACCGATTATACGCAAACCCGCGCCCAGCGCCGAGAGACGTGCTCGAGGGTTGACCAGAACCTCCCCGCTGTCTTCACCGATCTCTTCGACGACTCGTATCTCCAACCACCTTCGCTCGATCTTGCACATCCATGGCTCAGCCCTGGTGTGGCACCAAAACACATGCTTGCGGCGCTCCCTGACGACATTGTCCTCTTCTGTTGTGAATGGGACATGCTTCTCGCTGAGGGCGAACGATTCCGCGACCGCCTACAAAAGGATCTTGGAAAGCGCGTGCATTACCACTGTGTACCCGGGGTGCCACATGGCTGGGACAAGGCGCCTAATCCTCTTAGGGAGAGCCCGGGTGCTCGACAGCAATATATGGTAGCATGTAAAGAGCTGAAGCGTATGTTTGATATTGAGTACGACGAGGACGATTCGCACCAGAATTTGCCATGTAAGCAATATCATAAAAGTGTTGACTTGGGCACCGCGGGTCAGCGGGCGCAGGCCGAAGCATAAGCTGTGGCGTTGTTTTTTCTCTTTTTTTCTCCCCTAAAATATGGGTCTTGGGTATGGGTTCATAAGTTTCACATCAGCGGCGTTTGATAAATCTTCGAGACTGAGCGATGTTTAGCATACATATGAACGCGTTTCTTTTTCATGTTGCGAAATTTGGCGAACTCTCGCTATGTGCTGTGTGATGTTGCTCTTTCCCGTGCTCTTTCAGATGCTTTGCTTGCTCACAATTACTACCTTTTGCAAGGCCTCAGTTGTTGCTATTCACTTTGAAATTAAGGAACTGCAGGGTAAATGGTTTTGTATTATGATTACTTGCTAAATACTGCGATAACGCTGTATTGATTGTTCATGTAAAAATACCCCATCGCTTTACCCGTACGATTTGATGAAAGATTTGAGACACAAGCCCACAACGTTAATCAGAATCCATGCTTCGCAAACTCCTTCTGGGTCCACTCCCACAGCTCATTCGCAAGTTTATCGTTCTTGAGTATTGCCTGCGTGTACTCATTCCCATTGCCTTTTGGTGTGTAGAAAGCCCCGTTCTTAACCTCGCTCTTCTTCGCAGTACTGGCCCACAACTGCGCCTTCGCACCGTCGGCAACATTCGTCAGGAACGGACCAAAGACTACGGAAAGAACCGTACCTAGTACAGGTCTTCTTGTCTTCAAATTATCCCAAATGCCCGTGTTAACAACGCCGGGATGCAGCGCTACAGATGTGATGCTTGGGTATTTCTGTGCGCTGACCTTGCTGAAATAGTAGTTTGCCAGTTTCGATTGGCCGTAACGAGCTACGGAGCTCATGTCCTCACAAGCAGTTGTGAGCTTAGGGAAGAGGATACCCTCTTTGGGACCTTGCTTGAATAGTTCGGAGCTAAGGTTGATGATGCGAACGTCGCTGTTTGGCTCTTCGGCAGTTTTGAGCAGGAGTGGCAGGAGTAGTTTCGTGAAGAGAGTAGGGCCCATGTAGTTGCTGCCGAATTGGACCTCGTAGCCGTCGCTCGTTACGCTTGCAGGGTTGCCTGTTGTGCCGGCGTTGTTCATTAGGATATCCAGACGAGTGTTTTCGGTGAGGATGCGATCGGCGGCTTGCTTGACGGATGCGAACGATGCCATGTCTACCTCGAGGTAATGTATCTTTCCCTTTGCTGAG